GCAAAACCCCACCCTCTCAGGGGCTCAGTCTCCCCATCTGTACAGTAGGGGTAGGATGATGAGTGTTATATCAGATGAGGTGGCAGGCGAGAGACCCCATGTCTCCACTCCTCAGAGTGTTCCCACATCCTGTGAATGATTTGCTGTGTGATATTGGGCAAGACACACCCTCTCTGGGCACCAGTTTTTCCAGATGTGAAAGTTCCTATTCCCCAAACCTCAGTCACTCCAATCCTATGTCATCTTCCTGCACTGCATTTACATGAAGTGTAGAGAAGCACTAGAATGGTATCTCCTGCCAGTATACCTCACAGCACACAGCATGATGCACGGTAGGTGTGGTTACTGCCACCCTCTGGCCTTAGGCAGGTGACAGAATGACCAGTCCTTTGGTGAGGGGCAATGCTGCCCCTAACCAGAGCCCTGCGGGAATGGGAACGGGACCGGCAAGCGCAAGAGAAGATTCCTAGTGCGCAGGACAGGTCGCTGGAGACTGGCCAGGGCCCCACCGAGCATGAGATGGGCAAGGAGGTGGGAAATACATTTGTCAGCAGGGAGGGCACCCTGGATAGACCCCACAGGCCACATGCAAGTCCCCAGCCCTGCCCCAGGGACTGACCTAGGAGCAGAAGTGACTTCAAGGGACCACGATACACTCCTGCCATTTCCTGCCACCTCCCAGCAGGCAGTGGGGCCCAAACCCACACACATCGTTATGAAAAAGCTGAATGGTCCTGAGATTTGGTAGAAAGCAAACCTATAAACATACCCCTTTCTTGCCCAAGATCTTCCCAGTGTGTCTTCTCCAGCTGTTTTGTATTTTCTCCCATTCATTTGTGTTTAATTTTGTTTAAAGTGTCTTGCTCAGAAGATATTTTTAAACATTTTTAAGTCAATTTTTTCCTTTGTAGCTTCTGTATGGTGCACTTTGTCAGAAAGGGACATTCCCAGCCACGAGTTCAGAGAAGTATATTCCTGTATTTTCTATTTTGTTACGCACAGATATATACACACACACACCCCACATTTGCTCTTCAGTGCATAGACACACATACAAGATACAGATGTATTAAAGCTCCTTAATGTATCTGAAATTTGCCTGAGTGGTGTGAGGTAGGGATCAAATTTACATTTTGCTCGATTATACTGCAGCTCGCAGCCCAGTACCATTACTGACTAGCCCATTTGCTTTGTTGTCTGGAAATAAGTTGATGTGGTTTGAAGTCTCTCCTTTTCACTGATCTCTGCCTCGTTCTGTATCCACACTACACTGCTCAATTTACTTTGCCTGAGAGCAGGCTCCATTTGTGCTCTAGCAAGTACTCTGCCTCCAACGCCTTACTGAAAGCTCTCCTACACTTTCAAGTGAAACTTCAGAAGCTGCTTCTTGGGTTGCATTTTTAAAACACGACTGCTTGCCCCCTACTTTTGAGAGCTTGTATATGGAGGATGAGTATCTTGGCTTAGTCCGTGTTTTTCTCCCCAGAACTAGAACCTTCTCTCCATCTCCAGTTTCTCCACATCCTTCTGTAAGGGGTTATCACTTGCTTCATATGAATTCTGTACTTCTTGCCAGATTTAATCCTGAGAACTTTAGCAATTTTAGGGATACTATAAATGGGGTTTTACCCTTGATGACTTTCTGCACAGGTGATTCCTGCCTTTGCCCTTCCACAGTCCTCACCCTTTCGGGGTGTAAGTTATTTCTCAGGAATATCCTAGGTGGACACTCCCAGAATCCTCAAATGTTACATAAGATTGCCTTGACTTTGAGGCCATGATGGGTTACATAGTGAGTCCAAAGCCAGCCTGAACTGCATAGTGAGACCTTGATTTAAAAAAAAAAAAAAAAAAAACAAACCGGAGGTAGAGAATGCCAAGCCAGCCCCAGGCTCCAGGGTGGCGCCTCTGGTAAACCTAGTTCAGCCCAGGGATTTCGCTAATCCTGCTAATCTTTAGAGCCAGATCAGCTCATCAAACAGGCAGGCGGGGTTTCTGCCTCTCTCAGACTCAGGGCCCCTGGAACTGGCAGGCAGAGGGCCACATCTCCAGTGACAGACAGAACCCTGTGTCTTCTGTGTTCTTTCCCCTGTGTCATCTTGAAGGAATTGCTTTCTGGGCCTCAGTTTCCCCATCTTCACAGGGAGTTGCTGGCCCTTGCCCCAATTTGCTAGAGGCAGCTTGGGCCCCAGGCTCCTTGTTGGCTGCAGCACAGTGCAGCCTGCCTCACGAGAACAAGAAGAAGTACACACTGTTCAGAACAGATCCCAGTGGAGGCCCATGTATCCGGAGGCAGGGAGTCCTCCAGCAGCTGTTTTCTATTTCCTGGGCCTCTGACTCCTTCCAGTTCTTGAGATGATGGCCAGGCAAGGGACTTGCAGAGGCTGCTGGTCCTCTTATCTGCCCTGGACACAACCAGCAAACCCAGCCCGAAGACCCCCATTCACCCCTCTTCATGACTGTGGAGTCCCACGGCTCACGGGAAGCTCTAGATGGCCGAGGTCCTGGCCCTCACCTGCACTCCACAGCTTCCCACATCTGTGGCCACAAAGAGCTTCCTGTTCTGTTCATTCTTAGGTCCTACGCTCAGGCTCCAGAAGGGGTCCAAGCAGGGATGGTGAATGAGAGGCAAACCTCCTGTGTCAGGGCAGATGTTTCTAGCTCCTTACGGGCCTTTGAGGACTCTCAGCTGAGTCTGGAGTAGGAGGGCTCAGAAGGGACTTCAGACTCAGAATAGCAGAGCTCCCCAAGGCCTCCCTCTCAGTCTGCCACCTTCCCACCATCTATATCTCCATCCAGCCATGTGGTCACCCATGGGCATTACCTCCACAAGGCCCCTCTGGGACAAGAGGCAAGTCCCTAGGATGTCCTGTCCACTCAGCACAGATAAGCTAGTGCCACACCGGGAGCCTTCAGACCTGAGCCGTACAAGGGGACATGTGCCAAACATGACCCATAACAAGTGTCCTTGCCGAGCACTAGCCTGTGGTGGCCATGCAGGGTAACTGCTGGTGGGAGGTCAGGGAAGTTGGGCTAGTAGGCACAGGTTCTGCAGCTTGGGTGCTGAGGGAGGATGAGGCAGGTGGGGCCCAAGCACTTATGACATGACACAGCTGGCTCTCTCCTGTGGCCACCATGAGAATCTCAGGGGGACATAGCTATTGTGCCTGGGACCACCCAAGAAAGGACTTTGGGACAGTCCAACAAGGTTCTGAATCCCCTGTTAGGCAGGCGTGCAAGCCCAGGTGGGTAGGGGTGCTCAAGAGCCCAGATTCTCTCCTCCCTCCATTTCCCCAGCTACCTAAGAGGGCCACCCACCAAGAGGTGGCACTTCTTATTTTAATCTGAAACACAAGGAGGGACTGCCATCCTTTTTAGATTAGGCCCAGAGAGCTTTAGCCACCTGTGATCACCCATTCCTGTGTGGGGCAGAGCCTGAACAGCATCCCAGGAGCACTGTGGGAGAAAGCCCGGCCCGCTACTGATCCTGCTCTGATTTCCACGCTGCAGGGTGGCCCTGGACAAGTCACTCCCCCCGCCCCCCAGTCGTCCTCAGGACAAACTCAGGGAATTAAGTGTGACACCTCCCTTCCAGCCATCTTGCTGCCATACATCAGCACGTCCCACAGCCCCACTTCCTGAACCACCCGCAACCCCACCTGCTGTCCCCTGGACACTCTGGATTCTCCCATCAGGCCCTCGCTTCCCCTTGTACCCAAAATGGAGTGTTGAGATGCTGAGAGAGCTGGCTGCCCAGCAATGGCCTGAATGGGTACTTCGAGCCAGAGGGAGGCTCCTAAGACAGAGGGCAGCAGAGCCAAGTAGAGTGCCACCATCACACTCCCATCCCTGCCTTGCACAGAGACAAAACAGCTTATAAACAGGGGCTGGGGAGCAGTACCTGACAGTAAAAGAGAATAGACAAATAGCCACTGCCACCCACGGACAGCTGCTGGGCCTCTGGACCAGGTTGGGCTTCACCCTTTGTTATGGATTAAAAACTGGTGGTCAACTTAATGCCAGCTGGATTACATCAGCATGGGGCTGAGTGTAGATATCCCACCTGAGGAAAGTTGCCAGTGTAATAGAGACGTGGAGAAGGAGAAGCTAGGCATTAAGGTGTGTTGAGGCATTGTGGATTCTCCTACATGTTGCTGTTTGAGCTGCTGGTTCTCCCAGAAAAGCTCTGGTCCTCACATTGAGCATTGCTTCCTGGATCTGGAAGGGAAGACGTGTGCCGCTTGGTCTCCAGGAAGAACTCATCATGCTGGCTTCCTGGCATTTGCCTGACTGTGCTTGGCGGAGGAGGAGCTCGGGGCCTCCATGTCACTGAGGATGGCTGCGGTGCCTTTCAGGACAGCCCTGGTATTTGTTGTGAGTGTGACTTCTCGGCTCCAGTGTAGAAACCTCAACCTACCCGCACAGCTCCACCCTGCTAGCATGGACTTTCTAGCTTCCACCGCTGACCTCTGGGCCTTCCCAGCATGGATCCATAAAAGAGACTGGCATGAGTCCTTCTTGTGGGCTCTAGACCTCCAGTTGGACCTGTGGGAGGCACTGTCATGAGCTCTGGGTTTTCATCTGGACTCATGTGGGACATTGCTGTGGGATCCAGGCCCTTGGCTAAATATTCTATGCCTTTAGTGTTGTGGATAGATTTCCTGCATTTTCTTGTGTTAACTCTGGGTGACCATCATAAATAATATTATAAATTCCATGTCCTGATTCTAATTGTTCTCCCCCAATCCCTGACTACAACACCCTTCTATAAACTGATTTGTGGTCCATTCAGCACCCACAGCTGGTGATCTACCTTCTACCCCATTGTGGGCCTACAAAGCCCCTGCAGTTATCAGCCTATGACTTGCCAAGCGAGTGCACCCTGAATCGGGGAACACTCTCCTTCCTGCATCCCCGCCAGGAGACATGACTAGTCTCAGAGGTATAGCCAATGCCTGTGCAAGTAAGGGACATGCAGCCCAATCTCATCACCTGCAGGATTCTGACATCAGAGAACATTTATTTTTTTTCTTCATGACTGTGCACAGCCAGAAGACATGTGAAATTCCCCAGCAAGGCAGAGCAGAGCCATCAGGGAAAGTTCCACACCCCTGAGCCTGTTGGGGTGCCCTGAAGTACTGCAAAGGAGGGCAGGGCCTCTCTGCCCAAAGAACACAGGGGTGGCTTCCAGAAGCCTAGGGTGTTGCTCAAGAGAGGAGGCAGTGGCCTCAGGCTCTCTGAGCTCTGCAGGATGGACACAGACCCCCAGGCAAGGCCGAGCCGTGGGACTGGACTATGGAAACTCACGAGGGCTGCCGCAAGGGACAAAGGACTGGGGCCTCAGGGGTGCAAACAAGTTGGGGGTCTAGCAGCCTAGAGGCTGATGCCACTGGGTAGATGGAGGGGCATAGGGAAGGATGGCAGCCAGTGCACTAGCTGGGATGTCTGAAAAGATCTGCTTCTTGCCAGACTCTAAATCCTTCTGGATGTCAGGCCGCTGACAGGCGCTCTGGCCCTGCCGGTCTGGGGCCCGGTGCGTCTGGAAGTCAAACTTCTGGACAGATGTCAGTTCTTTGAAGTAAAGTCCTCGGAAGACCTGAGGTGAGATCTGTGGGAACAGAGCAGTGGGTTGGGGGAGACACGTGTGGGGTAACAAGCACCCAGGGCCAAGAGCAGGCTCGTAGGAAGGAAAGGCCCGGAGGTCTTCCCTACAGAAGCAGCAGCCTCCAGAGCACCATGCTGGCACTAAAGGCTCCATGCTGTATGGAAGGCAGCTCTCTCTCTGTCTGGTGCTGGAGGTCAGTGCTATTCCCTTGTGAGAACAAGGCCATGACCTGGACCAAGAGTCAGCACAGGTGCAGAAGACTCCTCTGACGTGTGCACTTGTCCTATTAGCATTCCTGGTGCTGTGCTTTGAGAGAAGGTCACTGGGCACATGGCAGACCAGACAGAGAGCCAGGGAAGGCAGGATCCACCCTCACAAAGGCAGGATGGAGCTCACATCTGCTTACTCCAAGGTCCCGTGCACCCTCTCCCCCAAGAAGAGCCATCCCGTCCCATGTGCTCCATGCCTTGTGTGTACCTGGCGCCGTGACACCATGTCTGCTTGTTAACACCCACAGTCATGAGGACATGGACAAGAAAGACACTAACAAGCGAGTGAGTGGCCGCGGCCTACAGAGTACTCTAATGGCTACAGTCAGGTGCCTGGCCAAGAAGGAGTTGCTCCCACAGACCAGATACCTCCAAGCCAGAAATGCAACAGTGGCCTCATCCATACCAGCTGTGGCGAGCACACGGGCCAGACCAGCCTGCTGCCAGAACTGCCTGTGGCCTGTGTCCCTCACCCTACTGCAGACCACATGCGCAAAGGCAGCCACAGAGAGCAGGGGGATCCCTGGTCCACAGGGATGGGCCTTGTGCTGCCTCACCTGCTGCTTCATAGAGCTGTAATTCACGTTGGCGGGCAGGAGTCTAGCACTCTGAGACCTTTCCTTGGGCTTATACGCTGCTCCTACGACTTTGCTCACCTGCAGGAGCCACAGGGGACAGTGAAGGCTGACAGCCAGGGCCCCTGCCCCTACCATGCTCACCAGCGGCCTCACCTGCCGGCCCTTGGACTCCCACTGGCTCCAACTCTCCTCGATCTCCTTCAGCGAGTACTGTCGGGCCCACGGGGACAGCTGGGCCATCCGCTGCAGTCGGGTCCAGGCCTTGGCCTCCACATCCTCCTTCCCATTCAGGAGCGCCATCAGGACCACCTGCTCCCGCTGCTGGTATGCCAGTGCCTCTGCCAGATCCCTTCTGAGAGGGGCTTCCCTTCACCACATGGCCCTCCCCTTCCCAGGAGGGTCGGCCTTCCTGCGCCTCATGCTCCCCAACATTTCTGACTCTCCCCCAGGGGCCATCGCTGAGCAAGTGTTCAGTGACATCAGCAAAACCTAGGTGTGGCTGGTCACACAAGTCCTACCACTCTTCCCACCACTCTGCTTTCCCGTATGGTGGCCTGACTCCTCACTCCGGCCTTGCCTGGACCTCCCCAGTAGAATTTTTCAATATCTATCCTTCAAGGCAAACTTTGCCTCTGCCTCTGCCTTTTCTCCTTCCTTAAGGGGGAGCATGTTAAAGCATATGCCATGATGGGAGCACAGGAGCTATACGATTCTATTTGTGCCTGGAAAACTCCTACATGTATGTTAAAACTCAACCTCAAAGTCTTTTCTAAGAAGCCTTCCTTACCTGATCTCCCTAACCAGATAGCTTATCTTTAAGCCACCCCTAACCTAATGTCCCCGACACTATACACAGAACTGCAGCCATGTTTTGCATCTCCATCTCCCTAAAGCGTCTGTGAGTTGTCCAGGGCAGAACCTATATCTGGAAGTGAGCAGAATCTCAGGATAAATGTGTGTGTGTGTGTGTGTGTGTGTGTGTGTGTGTACACTAGGGATCATGCTCAGGGCTTTGCACAGTGAGGCAAGCACTCTACCACTAAGCCTCACCTCCAACTCCCAAAAAAACCTTTTGAACACAGCAAAATTATTGGAAACTTGGTCAGGAAGAAGGATGGAGTGCTCGGAGAAGGAACAAGTAGATAACGATCTGCTCTTCCCCACGATTCAGGGAAATAGTATAAATGTCTGCTCAGGACCCAGGCCGTGGGTATGTGCCCGGGCTCCTCCAACTAGAAGCCAGTGGCCGTGTGGAAATGTCGCCTCCAGGGCCCTCAGCAAATCTGAGTCCAGCTTAGGGCTAGAACCCTACTAAATGCTTGGGGATTTACATTTTTTCCACTTCGCAGTGCTTGCGCTGAGCTGGGTAGGATGGGACCACAGGCTATCTGCAGGTCCCACCCTCAGGTGTTCCAAGGGTCCTCCCCAAGCTTGCCCGCACTACCTATCCAAGGAGAGGCTCAGTCTCTTCTGCTCTGACCAAAGACCAGCAAGTGGGCTGTGGGAACTCACTGCAGATCCTGGCGGGAGGCCTTGAGCGCGATGCCTTTGGGATCTGCTTTCTCTTCTAGGCTTGCACTTTGTTCTTGACCATCCAGGGTGGCATTCTGGAACCTTTTCCAAACACTCAGGCCAAATGTCCCTGTGATTTGATCAGACTCTACTCAGAACAAGGACTAGCATATGCCCACCTCTGAAGCCATTGCCCCTTACCATCTACCCTCAAGAGTCAGCCAGTGATTCCCTTACCTCCACCCTAAATATTTACCTAAATATTCAGTGCCCAGCATCTGCTAGATTGTATGATTGGTTCTGAACTGAGTGAACCAGTCCTGGGCATACGTGGAGCTCAAACCTAAAGCATCCTGCCCCACATGCAGGTTGGGATGGGAAGAGTTCTGTGTCAATGACCTGTGACGCTCAACGGGCTCCAAGCAGCTGTGTGTAGTCACTCTTGGGGTGAAGGGAAGGAGCGTTAGAGCTGGAGCACAAAGAAGCTGGTGAAAATGCAGTAAGAGTCCTGTTTCTGGGCAGTGTATAACGGGCAATAAACCACTCTCCTGTGACACAACTCTTTAAATTAAGAAAAGTAAGAGATTTGTTATAATTTTAAAGAAATAATCAGAGAACTATAGAAGCAAGGAAAACCAGAAAAAATAAAATTACAGTAAGGGAAGAGCCTTTTGAAGAACCAAGATTAAGAGCTTTCTTCTCTGGGGTTCACCCTGTCTCTGGGTGTAGGATGAGAAAGAAAAAGGTTTGGTTTAGACAGGAGAAGCTACTCGAGGGAAGGGAAGCAGCAGAGCTTCTGACAGGCATCGCGGCCAGCATGACAGACTGAGTCTAACGGAGCCCTACACATACTGCCTGTCCCCGAACTCGCTGAGCATGGAGGCAGGCTTGTTAAGTTGGGCCAAAATGACATCACTGAGAGACCGCAGTCCTTCCAAAGGAAGAAGCTTGCGACAGACGCAACAGCTTTCACCCCGAGACAATAAGGACAAGAGAACTGCAGACCATGTTCAAATGAGAAGGAGAACAAGAGGGGGCCGGGAGACAACAAGAAAAAGAGAAAACAGAAGGAAAATGGAACAAAGCTTCTGTAAATAACAAGGGGTGGGGCCAGTGATAAGTACAGCCACACAGTGCCTGCCTGGCAAGCTCAGCGACCTCAGTGCTATTCCTGGAGGGGGAAAAAAGGAAGAAGGGTTGAAGGGAGGGGAGGAGAATGGAGAAAAAGAAGCAGCAAGGTATATCAGGTACAGGTGCCAATTCCCTATGATGAATGTCATCAATATGTTATCTAAAACGTGCCAATTAAAAATTTTAAATTTGAAGAAAAATAGAACTGGGCCTAACTATACTATAATGCAGCTCTGTTCATGTGTTAGATAAAGGTAATCCAGCCCATACAGAAGAAAAACAGTGTCAAAATCAGAATCTACAGTCCATTTATGTAAAGTACAAAAAAGTTTCTTTTGATCTGTTTACATATAGGATGCGTTAAAAGGCAGGGAAATATAACCAATAAACAAAAGAATAAATACACATTAAAAAAAGACCCTTCAGGTGACTCAGACACTGGAGTTAGCAGATAAAAATAACTATTATAAGTAGTATGAGATAAAAGTATAAAGAAAATGGACAGGAGAATTTCAATAGAAAGTTGAAATCTATAGAAAGGAATCAACTGGGCATTCTAAAACTAACGGATGCAATGAAAATCTCACTGGACAGATTTGATGCCAGGCTGCATGCACAAGAAGACAGAATTCATGCACCAGAAAGCGGGTCAGTAGGAAATACACAGTCTAGGAGCCAGGCACAGTCACATGCACCTGTGACCTCAGCTACTTAGGAGGCTGACACAGAAAGATCACCAGTGCAAGGGCAGCCTCGACAACATAATGAGACCCTATGTCAAAAATCTTAAAAATATTAAAAGTCATATGTAAAATCAAATATGGAGTCTGGGATGCTGAGACTACAAAAGTAAAAACAAGAGACACATGGGGTCAGCGTACATGGAGCCGGGATGCCGCAATGAGAAGACAAGGAAACAGGGCAGAAGCAGCACTGAAAAGAAAAATCTGAGGATTTCTCCAACCTGATGAAAGGTACCAACCCATAGATTTTTAAAAATTGGTGGACTCCTAGTAGCGTAATTTCAAATAAAACCACACAAGGGTGTAGCACAGTCAAACTGCTGAAAATTAAAAGCCAGAAAAAAAGAACAAATAGCCAGCAGAGAAGCAGCACGTGACTTTTCAGCAGAGCACGTGTGTCCCCCAGTCCTCACGCAGTCACACGAGGGGCTTTTGGGAGGTGGCCGGGTCTAGGGTATGTGATTCTGGAGTTAGGGCGGCCCACCCTGGGGATAGTGCTAACTCGCCTAGCGGTGGGCAGCCTGGTTGGAACACGGGGACAGAGAGAGGGCCGCTGCTTTCCTACGCACTGGTTTTTTGCTTTCGGCCTGCCGTGAACTGTTCCTCCTCTGTGGCATCCATCTGCCACGTCACCCTGCCTCGGAGACAGCCAACTATGAGCTGAAACCCGTGTAAAATGTGAGCTTCAATAACCCTTTACTCCTTTAACTTTGGGTGTTAGGTATTTTGTCTCAACAACAATAAAAGAAAGAATATAGAAGCAAAAAGTTAACTGAATGAATTTTTTGTTAAGCACTGAAAGAAAAAAACCTTCTAGCTGGGAATTTAATACCTAGGGGGTTTTTGTTTGTTTATTTTTGGGGGGTTCTTGGGGGAGGGGTTGGTGGTATCAGGGATTGAACTCATGACCTTGCACTTGCCAGGAAGGCACTTATGCCACTGAGCTAAATCCCCAGCTCCAGGAGTCTTTTTCTTAAGTCTTAAAATTTTAAAACAGAGTGTCATGGCACACTCCTGTAATGCCAACACTCAGGAGGCTGAGGCAGGAGGATCACTGTAACTTCAAGGGCAGCCTGGGCTACATAGTGAACTCAAGGCCATCCTGAACTATACAGCAAAATTTTGGCTAAAAAAAAATTATATATATTTTTTAGACAAAGTTTAGAGAATTTATCAGTGACAGATCACAATGTAAGAAATTTAAAAAGTTCTTTAGGATGAAGGAAATTGATCACAGATAAGATCCTAGAACTTCAGGAATGAAGAGCCAGAAGTAGCAGATAAGTGGGTAAACATGAGAGGAAATTAACTGTTTAAAGCAACATTAGTACCACTGTGTTACAGGAAGATACAATATAATGAAAAGGTATCTTTTATTCATTGTTTGGAGGATACAATATTGTTTAAATACCCATACAACCCAAAGTGATCTATATGGCCCAAGGATATAGCTCAGTGGCACAGTGCCTGTCTGGAAAGCACAAGGTCCTGAGTTCAGTTTCCAGCACCAAAAAAAAAAAAAAAAAAAAAAAAAAAAAAAAAAAAAAAAGAGTGATCTATAAATGCAACTCAACCTCTATCAAAATCACAATGCATTTTTTTCAGAAATAGAGAAAAACCCTAAAATTCATATGAAACTAAAAAGAGACCCTGAATTGCCAAAATAATCTTGAGAAAAATAATAAAGCTAAAAGTTCACATTTTTCGGTTTCAAAATATATTATAAAGCCACAGTAATCAAAACAGTATGGTACTGGCATAAATATAAACACAAATAAAACAGGATAGAGACTCAAAAAAATCACTTGCAAGAGAAGCAAAAGTAAAAAGTAAAAAAAGAGAAGCAAAAATAAAAAACTAGGAACTATAAAATTTCTGCAAAGCAATCAACTGGTCTTTGACAAGGGTACCAAACTATGCAATAGAGAAAAGTCCATCTCTTAATCACAAAAAAATATGAAAAATTTAGCATCTACATGCAAAACAAAAATACTGGACTCCTACCCTAGCCATACATAAAGTCAACTCAAAACATATTAAAAATTTAAATATAAAATCTAGAACTGTGAAACTCCCAGAAGAAATTAGAATCTGCCTAACTTGATAATGATTTCTTGACTATAACATCAAAACCAGAAACAATAAAAGGAAAAAGAGACAAGTGACAATATACCAAACTGATAGCTTCTAAGCAGCAAAGGAAATAATCAGGGAACAAAGACAACCTATAGAAAGGGAAGAAATATTCTGTAAATATATACCATATATTTAATAAAGGGCTAATATCCAAAATATTAAGTAACTCCTATAACTTATTAACCAAAAAAAGTTTAAAATAAGCAAAGGATTTAGATAGACATTTCTCCAAGGATGACAGGCAAATCGTCAACAGTTTTATGAAAGGATGTTCAGCATCAGTAATCATCAGACAAATGTGAAATTAAAAGACACAGAGGGGCCAGTGATATAGCTCAGTGGCAAAGCCCCTGCCTGGCAAGTACAAGGTTTTGAGTTAAAGTCCCAATATGAAAAAAAAACACCAAGAGGCATCACCTCACAACCACTAGAACATCTAAGATAAATCAGAAACTTTGTCAGAATGTAAAATTGTGCAGCTACTATGGAAAACATTATGGCAATTTCTAAAAAAACTAAAAAATAAAGGTATCATATGACTCAGAAACCCCATTCTGTTTATCAAAAGAACTAATAAAAACAAGATGCGAAGAAAAGCTCTCAGATTTTTTTGAAGCATTATTTATAATAGCCAAGAGACGGGAACAACTGAAGTGTCCACTGATAGGTGAGCAGACACAGAGCACAAGGTATATACATACTATAGAAAACCATCTACCTTAAAAAGGAAGGAAGTCCTGATATATGCTACAGTATGGATGAACTTTGTAAACACTAGGCTAGATTTAAAAGACTAGTCACAGAAGGACAAATACTGCATAATTCCACTTATCTGAGATAACTAAAGGAGTCAAATTCATAGAAACATAAGGTAGGAGGGTGGTTGCCAGGTGTTACATAGTGGAGAAATGAGGAGCTGCTGTTCAGGTACAGTTTTGCTCATGCAAGATGTAAAGTTGTACAAATCAACTCACTGCATACCTATGTGTGCACAGTTAACAACAAAATTGTCTTAAAATTTTTAAGAGAATAAAAAAATTGCATAGCAGGAACTGTCTTGATTATTTTTATCTCATTGCTGGGACAAAACAACCCTCATAACTAGAGAGGGAAAGGTTTA